CAAACCAGCATGAGCATGGGCACAGGGGTGTTGCTAAATAGGTCTTAATCCGCCATGCTCCTGAGCACTGATCCTGTGACGCACAACACGTGGTGTTTGACTATATTTTCTATTTGAATATTTTATGAAATTCTTTTATTATTAAATAGTTATTTTGGTATGAATGGCTTCTTCACCCAATTAGACTGATTTAGTAAGCAGATCTTACTCATTTGTAGTCCTCTAAGTTTAGCAAATCCTGGCTGAATCAAATAATAGTAAATCAAGTAGAGGTCGGCAACAGATTGTGAAGAAAATGTGTAACAAGGAATCCAAGTGCCTAAATGAGTGTGTGTAGCTTTGAGGTGTTTCTGTTTACTGGAAGGCAGAGTGAGCAGAGGATGAGCATTTGACAGCTTCTGATCAGGGCCCTGGCCTCTCTCTTCCCTCCAGCATACCTATAAAATATAACTAAGTCACTAATTTAAAACATCTCTCCATAAACTTTACAAAGTAACAAATTTACTCACTCAGAAACTGTCAGTCTGTCCCCTGTCATGTCCCCTAGCCCCACCACAGTTTTGCCAACCTCCCGGACTCAACACACACATGTACTTGTTATTCTACTTCTGTGGTGCCCCAGCAGCCCAGCTGGCCACCCCGCAGGCTCAGTCCTGCCCCAGGCACAGGTAAAGACAGGCTTCAGAGGCAGGCAGGCCTGAATTCAAATTCAGATCTATCACTTTCCAGAGGATGTGACTTGGGTAACTTATGAAGCCTCTCCGTGCCTTGGTTTCTCCATCTGTAAGTTGGGTGTGATGATGCATAACTCAGTCATCTCATAGATAAAGCATGTGGTTAGCTGCCCCTAACTTACTTTCCCTTGGCTCCCAAATCTCTCTGGAAGTTATAGGATAAGTCTCAGGACATCATCCACAGAAGGAAAATCTAAACTGCTAGAGACTCTTTTGTTCTTCAATGTCCCCCTCTCATTCCAGCCTTCTCTTAGTTACCATAGCAACCTCCACTTGCTCCGGCTCCCAAGGGTTGTGTCACCACTCTGCTCTGTCCCGCTCAGTTCTCCCACACCACCTTGGCCCTGGGACCGGAGCCAGCCCCTTCCCATGCGAGCAGTTTTCTCCAACCACAGATCCTGTGGCCTGCCCCGCTGCAGTGTGCAGTTCACCCAGGGCTCTTCCCACCAGAGTGCTGGAGATCCTGCTGCCCCGTCCGTGCCAGTACCGCAACCAAAGCTCTTGCCAATTCCCTCCTTCCTGACTGCCATTGCCTCGCCCCTCTGCTGCACACAGAGGTGTAAGTGAGGGCAGTGCAGGTGGTGGGCCCATCCAGAGTCAGGAGAAGCTGAATCCACTTCCTGCTGAAGCTCCTGTTGGAACTGGCTTCAGAGGCAGAAAGGTTCCTTCTCGGAGTCCTCAAAGGTGGTGGCACTTCATGAAATGATGATGAATCTGATGTTTGTAGAGTGTCAAAAGTCACTGAGAGAAGAATAAGAGGCAGCGTGCTATGAGAGAGCCAGGGCAGGGGGCTGCAGGGGCTTGGGTCCAGCCCCACCCCCCCTTCACTGAGTAGCCACTCTCGGAGGATTGCTTAGTGTCCTCACTATTAAAATGGGCTCAGCCACGCCACC